CCCCGCCCCGCCCCAGCTGGTGAGCCGAGGCTGCGAGACCCTCGAGCTGGCGCTGCCCCGCGAAGGCCAAGGCCGCCTGGGCTTCGAGGTGGACGCCGAGGGATTCATCACGCACGTGGAGCGCTTCACGTTCGCGGAGACAACGGGGCTGAGGCCAGGGGCGCGCCTGCTGCGCGTGTGCGGCCAGCCGCTGCCCAGGCTGGGCCCGGAGGCCGCTGCCCAGCTGCTGCGCTCGGCGCCCAAGGTCTGCGTCACCGTCCTGCCCCCCGACGAGAGCGGCCGGCCCCGCAGGTCAGGGCCTGGATGCGGGGAGGTGGGAGGACCTGGCAGCTGGCCACCGCGGAGCCTGTGCCTCCCGTGTCGCCATTAGCATTCTCCCAAGAATACCCGTGGGGAGGGCTCTCCTCCAGAGAATCCCACGTTTAATCTCTCTGAGTCGCAGGTGCAGAGTGAAGCCAAGATGCAATAGCAGCCCCATCTTTTAAAAAGTATCATCCACAGACGCATACGTGCAACCGGCCCCTTACCGGCTTAAGCCAGGATATGCAAACTTTTCCCCCAAAGGGCCAGACAGTAAATATTTAGGTTTTCTGGGCCACCTGGTCTCTGCTACAGCTACTCAACTGTGCTGTAGCACAAAAGCATCCGTAGAGGACACATGAATGAATTCGTTTTCTTTGTTCCACTAAACCTTTATTTGTGGACACTGAGATTTGAATTTTATTGATTTTCATGTGTCATGAAATGTTCTTTTGATTTCTGCCAACTATTTAAAAATGCAAAAACCATTCTTGGCTCACAGGAGTAGGAAAACAGGCACATCTGCTAAAACAGGAAAAAAAAAAAAAAAGGCGCAGGCTGGATTTGGCTCCCAGGCAGGAGGTTTTAGATCTCTACCCCGGGTGATTTACTTGTGTCGTTACTTAAATCCTCACGGCGGGCTGTCAATTGGTACAGTTTACCCATTTCGCAGACGGAGAAACGGGTGTTCAGAGTGATTTACCCAGGATACACAGGGGCAGCGCTGGGTCTGGAAAAAATGGCCAGTAGTCAGGCAAACAGTTTTCGTTGTCGTGAGGGTGTTTGGAGAGCTCTCCTCCTGGAAGGGAGCCTCGGGCACAGCCGGGAGTGGGGCTGGAGATGCGGGACACCGGGGACAGGGTGTTCCTGCCTGACGCCGCCCCGTTCTTCCGCCAGGAGCTTTTCGGAGCTGTACACGCTGTCTCTGCAGGAGCCCAGCCGGCGGGGGGCCCCAGAGCCCGTGCAGGATGAGGCCCCCGGGGCGGCGACCCTGCAGCCCACCACGCAGCAGTTGCTACAAGCGTGCCTGCTGGAGGGTGGCAGTTCCACGGGGCCTGGGGATCTGGCTGAAGAGAGGACCGAGTTCCTGCACAGTCAGGACTCCCCGTCACCCCGCAGGTGCTCCCTCTCGGCCCTCCCTCTTGTCCAGCCCAGTGAAGTTGGACAGCCGCGGTCTGTGAGAGCAGGGGCCCTGGGGTGCAGCTTCTCTCGCCGAACTGTCTCTGCTCTCCCCAGCTCCCTGTCAGACGAGGCCCCGGTCCTTCCTAACACCACCCCGGACCTCCTCCTGGCCGCCACGGCCAAGCCGTCAGCACCCAGCGCTGGCCGGGAGACACCACCCACCCGGGTGAGCAAAAACAAGACTCGAGCCCAAAGGGCGGTGGTGGGCACAGTGGGGAGGGTGGACCTCACTGCATCCGTACCCATTAACACCCCTCAGGATGGGCCAGGCAGCCCCAGTGGTTGTGAGGACAGGGGCGACCCGGCCCCAGAGCTGAGGGCCTCCTTCCTGCCACGAACCTTGTCTCTGAGGAACTCCATCAGCAAAAGTGAGTCTGGAGCAAGGTGTGGGTCATGGGTGGCGGCGGGCAGAAGAGGGGCTGGCTTGGGCTCTCCCTGGGCTGAGCCTACCTCCCTGTGCCCACAGTCATGTCAGAGGCGGGCAGCGAGACCCTGGAAGACGAGTGGCAGTCCATCTCAGAGATCGCCTCCACCTGCAACACCATCCTGGAGTCACTGTCCCGGGAGGGTGAGGCCACCAGGGCGCGGGGGGTAGGAGCCAGGATGGGGTGGGGATCTTTCTCCCTTTATCCTCCTGCCCAGATGGTCCCTCTGTCCCCACAGGACAGCCCATCCCAGAGAGCGGGGATGCCAAGGGAACTCCGAAGTCCGATGCTGAGTAAGCCTCCCCGTGCGGATCTAGCCCCTTCACTGTACCTGCGTGGCCTCCATACGTGCCCGTCCGCTAGAGTTAAGCGTTGTCCCGGGCAGGGCTCCGCGCTCACACCCACAGAAGTCTGAGAACACAGGGGTTGGGCCCATCTCATTTAAGCGGGCTGGGAGCCAGCCGGAGGTGCTGACACCTACCCTGGTCCCATGAACCTGTCCCCCACGTCCTCAGGCCAGAACCTGGGAACCTGTCGGAGAAGGTCTCTCGCCTGGAGTCCATGCTCAGGAAGCTGCAGGAAGATCTGCAGAAGGTGACGACGGGGCGGATTGGGGGTTGGCGGGGAATTACAGGGCCGCCCTGGGAAAGGAACCGCTGCTCTGACACCTGCCTCCCACCGGTCCCAGGAGAAGGCAGACAAGGCGGCCCTGGAGGAGGAGGTGCGGAGCCTGCGTCACAACAACCGGAGGCTGCAGGCCGAATCAGAGAGTGCAGCCACGCGCCTGCTCCTGGCCTCCAAGCAGCTGGGCTCACCTACTGCCGACCTGGACTGAGCCGTCTGGGCCAGCCTCAGCCTGGCTGTGGACCTGCTTGGAACTGCTCAGGTCCTTCAGGGTACCTGGGTCACAACGGGCCCGGGGCCCTCCTCAGGAACTCTCCCTGCGCACAGAGGCGCGTCTTAGCACTGCCCCCACTCCCCAGTCCATTATTTGGTGGTGAAGTTGCCCCTACCCCCCATCCCTGTTTGTAAATATTCTGTGGAGAAGAGGGGACTTTGGGGAGTAAAGAAGCCACTACTATTTGTGTCTGTGTGGGTGTTCATGACACGACGGGGGGGGGGGGGGTTGGGGGCAAATCGGTTTTGACCCCAGAGGCTCCTGCCAAGTTCCCAGGACCTGTTAGAAGGACAGGCCTTGGGGACATTGGCTCAGGCCTAGGTCGGCACTCGCTGAGGGGTTCTCTGAGGCTAGGCCACCCCTTGGTTTCTCTCCCACAAACATTTATTTGTTCTGGTGGGAAGCAGATGGCCACGCCCCACACTTACTCTGCTTTATCTGGGAGCCAGGCCCAGCCAGGCCCTTGCCCTGGAACCAAACCTGAGGGAGTGAGACCAGGGGCAGAGGGACAGAGGTGGGCCTGCAGGCGTGGGGGAGGAGTTTAGGGATCAAGGAGAGAGGCTGATTATGCTCCGATGGAAAGTTCTTTTCCAGGCCCTGCCCTCCAGTGAAGGCCCCACTTCTCCTCTCTGTAGTCACCGAGCCCCCAAGACGAGCTCCCTCGACCCCTGGCAGGTGACTGCAAGACACTGGGAAGGCCAAGGGAGAGGCGTGGCCCGGGTAGGGGGACCAGGGCTCACTCGGTTCGTTCCCCTCGGGCCTCAGGCTGGAGCCACCGTACGCAGCTACGCCGTCTGCTTCCTCCGGTCAGGAGCCTTCTCACCTCCCTCCTCGGGCTCGCCCGGGCCCCGCCTCCGGGGCCGGGGTTCCACCGAACCCGGCCTCCCTGGGCGATGGGGTCGCGGGTTCGCAGGGGTCCTGACCTGGCGACCACACTCGGGTTCCGCCCCGTACGCGGACGCGCAGCTTGGCCTGGTCCCTGAGTGGCCCACCCTGCCTCGGGCCCCGCCCCTGGCTCCGCCCGCTGGGCTAGAGGCTGGAACGCAAGCTTGGCTCTGCAGACGCTTTCCGATACCCCGACATGTTGCCGGTCTCTGGTGTCTTCCTCGCCGGCAGGCAGTCCACCACCGGAGTCTGCAGCCAGGGCCTACTGTCGTTCCCAGGGTACACGCTAGTTTTTGCAGCAAGCGCCACTGGTAACCCGCATACCTCTACCTTCACCCTCCCGCAGCCGTGCAGAGCACAGAACTTAGATGCCATCCGATTGAGGACTGGGATTTCCCCGAAGCGCATTACAGGGCCGCCCCTCGCGGAATGCCGCCTGTGCGCGTGCGCACTTGAGAAGGCGGGGTCTTGCGGGCCCGAGCCTTCGCGAACACTGCCTTACTGCGCCTGCGTCGGGTCAAGCCGGAAGTACGTCCAGCTCCAGGCCTCTGGGCTGTGGCCTGGCTTTTGTTTAGGCTCTCGGGGCTGCAGATTTAAGATTTCTTTGGTCCTCGCAGAACAGGATGTCAAAGCATAGACCTTTACCTAGCACCTCCCTTCCCCAACAGATGCGAACTCTCCCTCAACCACCCAAGAGATGAAATCCAAACCTCTTGGTCCAGCGTCCTTCATGTTTTTTATAGCCTGGCCCCATCCAACTTTTCCAACATTGTCTCTTTTACCCGGCTCATCTTCCAACGCTGGCTAGACCCTTTGCAAGACTGACCCTCCTGTGATCAAAGACCTGAAGCTGATTGCCCCTATGGCCTCTGTGAAGCTCTTCCTGAAACTACTCCATCCCCACAGCCACTGGGCCCTGCTGAGCTCTCACTGTGCTGGGACACCACCCCTATTAGCTGCTTGCTTTCATCCACGGGCATTTCATTCCAAGGACATCCTCGGACTGCAGGCTTCTAGATGACAGTGTAACTATTCATCCAACTCTGTATTGCTAATGTCCAGCCTGACATGACCAGCAAAGAGTGTGCTGTTTGCTGAAAGAAGTGGAATCTCTGGCCAGCTTGGCAACAAATTTATTAGTTCAGAATAGAAAGAGCAAGAGTCCAACTGCTTTGATTTCTTCAGTAAAAACTGAGCCTCTTGATTGGAGAGCTGCCAGCCTGCCCTCCCCCCTACTCTCCAAACAACTAGCCCTACTTATTAAGGCACTTGAGGAAAGGGGGAACAGAGAGGTCTCAGACCAAACCTCCCAGGATCCCAGACAGGGCCAGTGTTGTCCCACCAGTTCCCTTACAGCCACAGCTGAGCAAGGAGAGCTGGCAGAGACCTCTGCAGGGCCAGAAGGCCAGGCCCTCAAATGCTGGTGTTAGTTCAAGGACAACGTGCCAGCACCACAGAGGGGCTGGTAACAGGCATTATTTTGGCACAAGATGTGAATGAATCCATCATGTGAAGACACTTGGTGATAAGGCTTTGTGGCCTCAAAGGCCATAGCTCCAGCCTGTCCCTCTCTCTAGGAGAGTATTAGAAGCTGGAAGGTAGGGATGGGGGCCCCCAGAATTCCCTGTAAAGAGAAGGGAGCGGAACATCAGGATAGGGGAAGAGTTTGAGTCCTCCCTGCTCCCCGCTTTCCAGAGAAGTTAATGCTTCTGCTTAAGCACCTCCAAAAAGAGAGAGAGATAGACACTGCCAGTAAAAGAATAAAATGCACCCCCCGGAAGACATCACCCAAAGAAGTTGGGGGCAGTTGGAGCACACCCCCCTCCCCGAATCCATAAGTGCTTGCTTTGGGAGGGCTTCAATCCCCTGCAACCCAGTACCCCAGGTAGGGTAAGTGTCCCCCCCCTTAGGAGCTGATCTGACTCAGAAGGGCTGAGAAGTCCATGTCGGCAATGGAAGAGAAGTCTTCATCCCCTGAGAGGAGGCCGTTGGGAAGCCCAGAGGCCCCCAGGGGAGCGGGAGCTGGGTCAGGGGGCCTCTGGGACCCCGTCACCAGGCGAGTTATTGCCTCAGGGTATTCCATCAGCATGGGCTCAGCTGGGTGGGGGGCCACAGATACACCCTGGTTCAGCAGCTGCTGAAACTCAGAGTTGTCGACGGATGCCAGGTCTGTGAACACTGCTGGGTCGGTGCTGTTGCCAAGCAGGGCCCCCAGGTCTTCATCAGCGTCAAACTGCAGGTGCAGCAGGGCCTCCGTCAGCGTCCCTTCCCCAGCCTGGGTGGTCTTGGGAGCAGGTGGGACCACAGCCTGAGCAAGGCCTGGGGCTAAGATTGGGGCAGGGGCCGGGGCTGGGGCCGGGGCCGGGGCAGGGGCGGGGACAGGGGCAGGGGCCGGGACAGAGGCAGGGGCCGGGGCCAGGATTGGGGCAGGGGCTGGTGCCAAGGCAGGGGTCTGGCTTGGGATCTGCCCGGAAGGGAAGACCATGGGGGAGAACTCCTCGAAGTTGATGGTGCTGAGGGATGGCGTAAAGGGATAGGGCTGGGGAGCTGGGAGAGAGAGACAGAGTCGGGTCAGACAAGGCTGCAGAGACCCACCCTGTCACCTGTGCTCCAGCCCCTGTCAGTAGTGCTTAGGATCAGTCCCTAGGAGGAGGTCCCTCCCTAGGAGGTCATGGCTAGCACCCTCACTCCTTCTTCCTCAGTCTGACCTGTTCGGTTCCATCCCCACGTCCTCCTGTGGAGCCCTCCAGCCCGCAAAGCTCTCCCAGCCTTTTAGAGGAAGGGATGCTGTCAGAGATCAGCTGGTAAAACCCAAGCCACAGACCATGAGCCCAGTGAGCGCCCGGCGAGTCAAAGCCTGAAGCAGGGCACTTGGTCACTCTTTTGTGAGCTACATACCAGCATGCACATTCTGCTGGAGGAGCTTCTGCTTCCCTAATTCAACTGAGAGTTGAGGGAGAAGACTGCATTTTTGAATGGTCTCCTGTGGCATCCAGTGTGGGGTTTAGCTGACATAGTGGTTCTCAGACCACAACGTGCATTAATTCATGAGCTGGTTCCGGGGCCACGCTTCCAGAGCCTCTGGATTGCACAGGTCAGTGATGGGGCCGTGGAATGTGCATCTTCACTACCCCCCCAAATGACTCTGATGTGGGTAACTAGACCTTAAGCCCTGTGAGCCCCACAGACAGTAAGCTTCAGACACCCGCTGGTAAAGCTGACCCCCTCCAGCCCAGAGCCACAGGCTGAATAGAGTTAAGCCCACAGTTCTGGTGGGGCAACAGGAAATCCTTACCTGGCTTGGGGACGGCAGTTGAGCTTCGGGAAGGCACAGCAATGCGCCGGGGTGGAGGCCGGGGGTCGGTGGGTCCTGTGGGGCAAGGCTGGGTCAGTTCCTAGCCCCCAGGGTCTCCCCTCCCCTATCCACCACCTTCTAATTCTCTGCACTGCCCCTCTCACCATTGAAAGGACTCTTTTTCATGATGCTCTTGAAGGTCTCATATGTCCTTTTGCGTTTCTCCTCAATCCGGTGACGATCATCTAGAAAAGTAATGGGGAAAAGTGGGTCTTGCTCTTCTCAGCTGGATCCCCAGAGCCTTCAAAGGACCCGCAGGAGGAAGATGACGAGACCACCTTTCCGTAAGACCCTTTCTCCAAACATTGCCTGCCAATGAGAAGGGCCTCATGACACTGACACGCAATTCTGAGAGTCCCACAGCTTTCTGAGAAGGCCTTGGTCACTGAATCTGACCACCCCCCTCAAAGGCCACGTGGGTGCCTCCAAGTAGGGGTCATGCTCTGAGGGGACAGGAGCCCTCGTGAAGCCGTCTCCAGCTTTTTCTCTTACCTGCATTGCCCACGTCCTAGCTCACCTCCAGCCTTGATCCAGGCCTGGCCATGATCTTTGCACACAGGGGCAGCATAATAGGCTTGCTAAAGACCAACAAGGACTTGTATTCTTATCTCTGATGGTTTGCTAGTTCAGTCTGGAGCCTCCAGGACTGCCTTTCTAAGTACTGGAGCACATGGATAACTCCAAAGTACTCAACACCATCAGTCCAAAGCCAGCCGCATCATCTCACCTCAAAAACCTGGTTCTTCCTTCTCCAGTGGCCCCTCACCACCTGTCTGCCCTGTCACCCCAACTAGAAACCTTGGAATCATCCTCAGCATCTTCCTTTCTCTCACTCTCCACCATCCACTAACACGACACACGTTTACCAACACCCACCATGTGCAGGCTCCATTCTAGCCACTGGGGGTATGGCTGTAAGCAGAC